ATCTCTGTGAGTTTGAGGCCAGCCTAGTCTACAAAGTAAGTTCCAGGAAAGGCACAAAGCTACACAGAGAAACCCTGTCTCAAAAAAAAAAAAAAAAAAAAAAAAACCTGAACGTGTGTCCTCTAGGAGAGGAGCATGCACTCTTAACTACAAAGCCATCTCTTTGGCCCCTTATTTATTTATTTATTTATTTATTTATTTATTTATTAAAAGGGAATATGCTAGATGCCTCTACAATCTTGTTTGGATGATTGCAGAGCCAGGAAAAGCTATTTCCACTATTGATGTATATCACACTATTAGTCTTTTTATATAAATATATACACATAATTGTGTAATTTGAATTTTGTTTTGGTTTTTGGTTTTTAGAGACAGGGTTTCTCTGTGTAGCCTTGGTTGTCCTGGAACCAGCTCTGCATACCAGGCTGGCCTTGAACTCAAGAGATCCACCTGCTTCTGCCTCCCAAGGGCTTGGATTAAAGGACTGTGCCACCAGCAGGAATAACTGTGTTCTACTGCATAGACAGCATATTCTATTTAACTAACGGCCCATTATTAGATATGTAGGCTATTTAGACTTTTGCTATGATCGACATTATACTTAATTCATATAGTTTTGGACACAGTATACCCTTAGCATAAATTCCTAAAAGCAGAATTCCTGAAATCTAATTTGACAGGAATAAAATAGCCAGTGCCTGAATACAGCTCAGCACTTAAGAACAAATTTTGTTCTTGCGGAGGACCTGAGTTTAAATCCCAGATCCCATGTTAGGTGGCTCACCAACACCCAAGGGATTAAATGGCCTCTTCTGGCTTCCCTGGACACCCACAGCCATGTGGCATAGACTCATACTCATACACACACACACACACACACACACACACACACACACACACACACACAAATAATAATCAACAGTTGACATTGCATTAGGCAAATTTCAACAAAGCCAGGAGCAATCTGTACATTCTACTAGCAAAACAGATTTGTAGGCCCTTACTGAACTCAATTTAGCATATGTGCTTCTTGGCAAATAAGAAATTTACAAGTGGAAAAATACAGAACAGCAATACAAAGATTTACCTCTTCCCACAATCCTCCAAAGGTTTCACATAAATTAACCTCAGTGCCTATACCAGGGTTTGATTCCTAGCACAGCAGAAAGAAATAATGGGGATGGCTTAAATTGTTAGCTATTATCAGATTTAAAGATTGTAATAAGTTATTATTAAAAAAGAGAGGCCAGGCACAGTGATGCATGCCTTTAATACCAGCACTCAGGAGGCACATGTTGAGTTCCCAGCACCCATGAGGCAATTCACAACAATCTGAAACTCCAGTTCCAGGGGGTCTGACATCCTCTTCTGGCTTCAGTAGGCACTGGACATGTACATAGTGCATATGTATACATGCAAAAAAGACATTCATACATATAAGAGGGAGGGAAAAAAAAAACTCTTTTAAAAAGAAAGTAACTATGCCAAGAGGTTCAGCAGATATAAAGCCAGAACAGCTGGGCACACCTTTAATCCCAGCACACAGGAAGTAGAGGCAAGTGAATCTCTCTGAATTCCAGGCTAGCCAGGGCTACTGAGTGAGAGCCTGTCTCCAAAAACAGGTGGTATGCACCTGTGATCTCAGCACTTGGAAGGCAGAGTCAAAAGGATAAAGAGTCCAAAGTCATCCTCAGCCACCTGGAAAGTCTGAGACTAGCCTGAGCTACTATATGAGACCCCATCTCAAACAAATGAATAAACACTACTACAGTAAGCCTTGGAGAAGAGTCTATACTAAACATGTCTACTATACTTCCCCAAATTTAATATCTAGAGAAACTCTGTCTCAAGAAAACAAAACAGGGGCTGGAAAGATGGCTCAGTGGTTAAGAGCACTGACTGATCTTCTAGAGCACCCAGGTTCAATTCCCAGCACCCACATGGCAGCTCTCAACTTCAGTTGCAGGGGACTCAACATCCATGGCAAAACACTAATGCACATAAAAAAAAATTTAAAAAAATAAAATAAAATAAAGGAAGTGGGGTACTAGCAAGTTGTTTCAGTGTTTAAAGGCACCTGCTGCCAAGCTTAACAACCTGAGTTTGATCCTTAGGACCCATTTAGCAGAAGGGAAAGTGACGTCACCTCCACACACAAAATAAATAAATAAATGTTAAAAAGAAAAGACAATACAGTGAAAGAAACAGGGCCAAAGAGGAAAAGGCTCAGGTTTCAGCTATTCTGGTTCTCTGGTTCAAATAAGAACATTAGACACTAAGCAGAAAATAGTACAGAATCAATTCTAATGAACCTAAAGATCAAGTCGGCCTACATTTCAAAGACAACACCATATGCAAGGTAGTAAATATGATGTGTACCTCCTCCACTCTATCACTTGACTTATAAGTAGAATTCTCTAAGGATGACACTCGCTTTGACCTTTTCTCGTAGGCATCAACATCTCCGTTTGGGAGGTCTTTTCTTCTCGACTTATGAGACGGGGAGAACTCATCTGAAAGTCTACTAAGTCCTTCTTCCGTGTCTCCATTTAGCTTCTCTTTTATTTTAGCTTTTTTGGGCTTGGGAGCATCCAGGTCATCTGTAACGCCATTTTCTCTTGTTTCTGTTTTCTCATCTGATTCATAATGGTGCCTTGACTTCCTTCTATCACTCTGTAGACAAAGAAATAAACAGTGACAAGTTCTCCTTTGAAGACTAAAGCTCAAGTATGACTCCCCAGCTGGCTAAGCTCAACCTATAGTTACACTCAACACTCTACCTGCAAGAAATCCACACTGGTTAGTAATTCGAAGTCTGTACCTTACCTGCTTCAATTTGTCATGCCATCTCTTGCCTTTTCAAGACTCAGTCTCTAGAACATTTCTAATCCCATCCTAAGATTTTTAGGAAAGTTAAATAGTTCCTCCTCAGGAAAAGAATGAAGTGTCTCAAAATTATAAATTAAAATACAAATAAAAACTAACATCTCCAAAAGGGAAAAAAATGTATTGAGTACCTACCCATCATTGTGTAATGTTTTCGGCTTATCTTGTTTAAATCTTCATAACAACCCTATCAGGGAAGTACAGGTCCATAATCCCTTATCCGAAATTCCGAAATCCATAAAGCTCTGAAAACCGAAAGTGTTTTTGTAACTTATATGGAGACAAAACCTTATCTGAGCTGAATTCATTTGATGGCAAAATTTGACAACTAATGTGAAGCTACTTATATAGTCTTTATTTATCCCATTTAATATGACTATCCATATTTAACATTAAGCTTGCAGGTCCCCAACCCTTCTAATGATTTCCAGTTATTTCAAACCACATCTAGCCCAATGATTTTGGATAAGGGATGGTGAACCTGTATTATCTTTGCTGCCACTTTATAGATAAAGAAACAGAATTGAAGAGGTCAAATACTTGCCAACGTTCTAAAGGATATTCTGCAGGTGGAAAGGACAGAATGGAATGTAGCCCTGTCTGACATGAAAGTCTATGTTCTTTTCACACCATGCTTCCTCCCAGAATTGTTTCTTCTGTTTTAAGATAGGTTCTCATGTAGCTCGGGGTGGCCTTTAACACCTGACCTTCCTGCTTCCACCTCCCAAGTGCATGGAACAGGTATGTACTTACTAGTAGACATAGTTCTCCTTGACTTTTGATAGATTAAAGAGAAACAAAACTATGTAATGTATATTATATAAAACCAATTGTTACACTTCCATAGAAGGACTATAACCCTGGAAATTAAGACTGTGTTTAGGTTAACAAAAAAGCCAAACACAGAGGCACAATTCCATAACTTCAATTTAAAATGCAAAACTAAGACCTGAGAGATGGCTCAGTGGTTAAGAGCACTGGCTGCTTTTCCAAAGTACTCAGATTCAATTGCCAGCACCCACAGGGCAGCTCCAGGGGATGTGACAGCCTCTTGTGGTCTCAGAGGACAGGCATGCAGTGGTACACAGACACACACACACAGGTAAAACACCCATACACGTTAAAAAAGAAAACTTTTTTTTAGGTTTCTTTAAAATACCAAACCAGAGGGAAGTTTTTTGTTTTGTTTTTTAATATTTACAAACCACAAAAAATGATTTGGAAATTTAGTCCTTCAGAGTCCCTTGGCCAAATAAATAAACAAATCACTTGCTTCAGAAAAGATTAGAGAGCAGTACTTCCCTCTACTAAAAACTACAAGCATCAAACTTTCACCATTCTGATACCATTTTTTAAGTGTTTTAACAAAATTTTCTCATCCATAAAACAGCTGAGCAAACTGAGTAATATGTGAAAATGCCTTAAAAAAAATGTGCTACATCATTTGATCTTTAATTAACTGCACTAGCCCACAGCTTCCTAAAGTAGAAAGTCCTATAGAAAAGCAAGATTAGCATCAGCCTGGGGTTTGAATTGCTCCAGGGCTGCTCTTTGGTAAGAAGATGGAGCAAGTCAATGTGACACCTCCAAGTCCAAACCCTGCAGCATCCCACAGGGCTGAAAACTCCACTACTCTATAGTGAGCAATAGGCCGACACTGTCTCCTGTTTCCATGGCTCTGTAGGTCTTCTTATCGCTTAGCTCTCAACCTTCAGCGTTTCTTGTCCTCACTCTCAGCCAAAGCTTAAGTCTTTGCCTTCAACACACTCTTCCAGACTCTTCTCTATCATCATTCATTTTCTAAGAATATGAATTCATTACCTCAACATATCCAAACCAGAATTATCTTCATCTTATCAGACCTGGCCTAATGTTTTATGATTATTTTACGGTCAATGCTCTGAAATCTGCGGCTCAAACCACAGCTTCATGCCTATTGTCCTTGAGATAGTACCACTAAAACACTTTGAAAACTGATCTGCATCAATAATTTAATTACACTATGAAGCTTAAAGCGTTAACCTCGTTCATGTCTCAGTCCATTTCCAAATCTCTAGTTCTTTTTCATGATGGGCAATCAACAAGTGTATTTCTGGAGACTTGACAGTGTGAATGCTACCAACATATAAGAACATAGTGAAATGTAAGGACGCACAAAGATACTGTCACTTTCCTCAAGAACCTTTGGGAGATGTTCAGGATATATAAAGAAAAGCTAACTTTATAAGGAAGCATATAAAAAACACTAATCACAAAGATAACAGTAGAACAAGACCTTGAAGAGGGATGAGATTACTGTATGCTGGTATGGTTGGGAAAAAAACATTACCTAGACATCGACAGAAGAAAGATTTAGGTGTGAAAGGAAAAATAAGCTCTTCAAGAGGAACTAAAATTAAAATAATTGCTTGAGGATTACATATAGAATCTACCCCAGGTGGCTACAGCAGTAAAATTCAAAGGCTTGGGAGTTAATATTTCAGGGGCAAAAAGCTTCAGCTTGGGAGGATGAAAAGGTTAGCGAGATGGATGGTGGTCATGACAGCTGAACGGTTCTATTACGCTTACTGACACCAAGTTATACACTTAAAAACGGCTAAAAAGGGGAGGGGGCAGTGGATGCGATCAAGCTCAAACCCAAGCACTAAAAAACAGAAGTACCAAAATGTAAATCCCAAATTTATTCTACAAAAACAGAAAAGTGGGGGTTGGGAATACAGCTCAATGCTGGGCACAGCCAGGCATGCCAGTTCAATGCCCGTTAGGAAGTGGCATACAAGGGGGGGGGGGGAGGAAGCCAGACTGGTTGGCTATAATTTAAAGTTTATTCAAAGTTTACCTTCGCGGTAAATCCTAAGGGTATTCCCTCAGCTCTAGCACTCTGCAGAATAAATATTTTTATCAAATTTCATCTCTCCCACAGTCACGTCTATCCTCCTCAGCTCTTTTTTTTTTTTTTTCTCCAGGTCAAACGCCTCCAGTAAAAATTTTACCTGTGCATTTTCTTAGCACCTTAAGATCCTCTACTGTTTCGGGTTTTTTTGTTTTGTTTTGTTTTTTGATTTTTGTTTTTTCTTCCTTTTCTTTTTTTCGGACGGAGGTGGGGGCAGAGCCTCTAGAAACTCCTCTACAGGCTCCTTGGTGGGCAGGGACCATTTTGCATACTTAATTAGTTTAAGCTCCTTGGTACTCAGCAAAGAGTCTGGCACAAATTAGGCTCAATAAATACCTGTGGATTGAAAATACTGACAGTGAGGGCTATTCGTGATACAACCCCCACGAACTCCATCACAGCCGAACCCTGGAAACCCTGGCCGTGATCCTATTCCCTGAGCCTCTATTACCCAATCATGGAGGACTGTAGCCCCAGGATAGCCTTTCCCAAGACCGCTGCAGACACGACACCGCGACAGAGAGGCAACACACAGGCAAAGCCATCATCTTTCTTAATTACGTTCTTCGAAGGCCCTGGAAAAAGCAAACGAAGGGCCGCGCCGCCGAAGAAAGGGGGAAGGGGCAGATCGGCGCGGCGGTGGCAGCTCGACTCTGCCCCTCTCTCGGGAAGAGATCCAGGCTGCCAAGGCCGACGTCGGGCTGAAAGTGCCACGGAAGTCGGGCCGCAGCCTAGGTCCGTTCTCCTCCAGGTCCGGGAGAAGTGGCGATGGGGCTTGGTCCCCGGGACCTCAGAGGGCCGAGCAGGGCGAGGGGGAAGCTCGCTCGCGCCCGGTACTGACAGGTCGTCCCCCTTCAGGGGCCGCTCCCCTCCCCGCCCAGGCCGGCGCAGCCCGCGGGGAGGCGCGGCCCGGCCGCAAGCGCACCTTTTGCCTCTCCTTCTTCTGGCTCTCGGGCTCTTCCAAGAGTGCCTCGAGCTCCATGATGTCCCCCCAGAGGAGTTTCCCGGGCATTACGGGCCGCCGCTGCCACCTCCCGCGCCGGGTGCGGTGGCCACGACCACCCCCTACGGCCACCGACAGCGTGAAAGGAAGCGGGGGCAGGGCGGCCGCCGGCCAGGGCCGTGCGTCACTTCCGGGCCACGCACCGCCCGGCGGGAGCAAAAAAAAAAAAAAAAGCAGCCCGAACTCTGCGGGAGGAAAGCCGCAACCTCCCCTCCGCCAATGAGAACGCGGAGAGGGCCCGATGGCCCCGCCCCACGGCCCCAAGTGACAGGTTCCTCCAGGGCACCGGCCAATCTCCAGGAAGGACTCTTGCGCCTCGGGCGCAGGACGGAAAGCATTCCAAGCCTCCCCCTCCCCCCCGAACCCCCGCCACTCGGAACACCTCCCTTCCCAGCATGCCCTGCAGGGCTCGAGCAGCCCCCCGTCACGGGCGGCCGGGGAGAGGGGCGGACGCGCCGTGCATCCGCTCGAGGGCCGGCACGCGCCGCCCGGCCATTCGCCGCCGGAAACTGCAGCCCTCGGCCCCGCCCCCCGCGCGGTGGGTGGAGCGTTAGCGTGTAACGGCTCCCCGCCGAGCGGGCGGGCGGACCGGGCGTTGTCGTCGAGGCTGCCTGGGGTCGGCTGGGTGGGCTGGGTGGGCGACGATCGGACGGGCGGGCGGGCGATCGGGCGGGCGGGCAGCACGGACGTCCGGCCCTGAAGCCTTGACGGCTTCAGTTTCGTGCTCACGCTCCTCAGAGGAAACAAAACCCACCCGCGAAAGGAATGTGTCCAGAGTCCGTCCGTCCGTCCGTCGGTCCGCGCCGGCAGGACTAGCACATCGCCCCGCATCCCAGATGGGCAAACCACCCAGTCTTCAGCTATAAAGTTTCTCAGAGGTGGAAGGGGACTGCTCCCGTGAAAGAGAAGGAATAGAAAACAAACAAACAAACAAACAAAAAAACACCCCAAGGAGCCTAAGATAAGGAAAGCAAACCCAATGTGTCTGACAGATTAGTTGTGATAAATCGATTTAATTCTGCTGATCAGGATTAGCACCCTCTTGAGTTACAAACTTACACAAAAGGTATCAGTACCGGCGAATGGACTTGCTCTTTGTGTGTTCACAAAGACGGGGTTCAATCCCCAGAACCTCACAGGCCAGGCAAGCCTGCTACTTGAACGACAGTGAAACCTTTTTAGTCATTTGATGATATCTTCCTTCATCTGGTCAGCTGTTCCATTCCTGAGGGGCGCTAAGACACAACACTGAGATAGACGTAGGCGCAGGGGAGTTCCTGCCAACCACTTGTGACCTGAGCCCCAAACACAAAACGGCTAATGGAGACGTGCCCTGGGTTTGGGGGTCAGACATGAATAACTGGAATCACAATATTAACGCTGTGATAGCTTCCGGACTTCTGTGTGATTCAAGATCGGCCCCAAGTCAGTGACCGTTTAGCTGTAGTTATGTGGATTCAGTTCTATGAACACCAGGTGTGTCCAAGGATTGATGGTCGAAAAATGCTTTTTCCGAAGGTTAGGTAACCAGATATGGGTCTCTTCGTCTGAATCTATAAATCTAAAAAGTTTTTCTAAGTCTGTCCGGTCGCCTCACACCCACACCCAGTCCTACAGCGGCAGTCATTGTGCCCTACAACAGAGTGTGATATGCAGAGAAGCACAGGGTAGGGTGAAGAATGTCGCACGAAAAATGGGGATAAAGGGAACAGATGCTGCTGTCTTGTAGTTGAAGGTCACACAGATGAAGTAAAATTTTAGCTCCTTGGGATCCTATTTTTGGTATTTGTTCTCATGCCAAAACTTCTCATGGCGAGCCTGAAAAGACTAAACCTATTCTGTACTCCCTCCTTAAGTGACTTCTTCCAAAATGACCTTCTGAAGGGACACTAGCCCACTCGAGCACGTGGCTCTGGCAGGCCTTGCTCTTCTCCCCCATCCCCTCTGCCTTGCTATAAACCGTTAGATCACATTCCTACAGCTAGCCACCAAGGTCCATTCCCTTATTTGGCCACTTCCTCCTCCTGAGGCCGACGACCAAGGTCCAGCTATCAAAGTATTGAAATTCAGTAATCAAAAGCCTCTTTTGGCTCACCTAATTGACATGCCCAATCAAAATTAAACATCTCATCCTAACACAGGGGCTTCCCCCTTTACCTTTATAAACTACCATTTGCCTATGGGCCACATCTGTCTCCTCTATCCAGAAGCAGTCCTTCTTCCCTTGGGGACAAATACCCCTGCCCCCTTTTCCTTGTCCCCTGTCTCCTCTACCACCGCATCCCAGCCCCTTCTACCACAGACCTCCCCTTTTCCTCCTCTCAAAAATGACACCGACAAGGTCACTTGCTGCTGTTTTCTGCCTGAGTCAGAAAGCAGCCACTTTAACTTTTCTTCCCTGCTTAATAAAGGATCTCTCTGTGAAAACAGATGTTTGGGTGTGGTTTGCGCCTAACCTGGGGTCCCAGTGGGTGCCCCTGCTCCTTTCACCTTCTGTGACAACAAATGCTTCCTCATTGCCTGAACCAGTTCTGATCACTATCTAGCCAGGTAGAAAAGGAGAGTATAAACCTTGACCCGAGTAACTTTCCCAAGGAGTGGAGGGATTCAGTAACCATTTGCTTAGCTTAATCCATTAGGAAACCTGGGAACGGGATCTATAACTTTAATATTCAATAAAGGGTTTGGAGACAGGGAGGGCTCAGTGGTTAAGAGCACTGACTGCTCTTCCAGAGGACCAGGATTCAATTCCACGTGGCAGTTCACAACTGTAACTCCAGTTCCAGGGGATTCCATATCCTCACACAGATGTGCAGACAAAACACCAAAGCACATAAAATAAAAAAATTTTTAAAAACGCCTCAATAAATTTATGTCTGCTTGTGAGATTTGGAACCAATAGGGAATTAAAACAGTACTTTTCTCATTGCTATGACAAAACACCTCAGGGGGACATCGGGAAGGGTTTCACTTTGGCCCATAGTTCAAGGGTACAGTCCATTATGGCAGGGGAGTCGTGGTAAGAGGCAGATGAAGCAGCTGGTCACGTTCCATCCATAAGACAAAGAGAGATGACGGTACTCACCAACTTTTTATGCGGTCTGGCAGTGGGCATGGGTCTACCCGCTTCAATTAATCAAACTCTCTTATAGACATGCCCACAGGGTTTTCTCTAAGATGATTCTAGATCTGGTCAAGTTGACCATCAATATAAACCATCATGGACATGGATTCAAAATATAATTGTCAGATTCATGGCATCAAGTGATCATCCTGCTCCAGCCTCCCCTGTACCTGGAACTACAGGCATGGACCTCGGTGCCTAGTTCCAAACATAACTATCAGAAAAGCTTTCTAGTCCAAATATTTTTATTTAATTTATTAGTTTTAGATGTGTTTTACCAAGTACTACTGGATGATCTGGAACTTGCTATGTGAACCAAGCTGGCCTCGAACTCAGAGATCTGCCTGCTTCTGCCACCCCAGTACTGGATTAAAGAAAAGCATGTGCCACAATGCCTGGCTTCAGATTTTTTGCATTTTGTGTGTAGAAGTTCTCTTTCCACAATGTGCGTCCTGAGGATCAAACTCAGATTTTCAGGCTCAGTGGTGGAAACCTTTACCAGTGGAACCATCTTGCTGATCCTATTTTCCAAACATCCTAAAAGAGTTATTGATGCACCCTGAAGACATAAATGCTGTGTTCTTCTGGCTATTCTCTATCAAGTGTTCTACAAAAATCCCCTTGCCTTTTAGCCTTAGCTTATTAAACTGTGTGACTTGTAAGGTACTAGGCTGGAGAGGTGGCTCAGAGGTTAAGAGCACTGGCTGCTCTTCCAGAGATCCTGAGTTCAGTTCCCAGCAACCATATGGTGGCTCACAACCATCTGTAATGAGATCTGGTGCCCTCTTCTGGCGTGCAGGCATACATGCAGGCAGAACACTGGCCATTTCCAAAATTGTTAATTTTTTTTTAGCCTATAATAGAAAGCAGAAGGCAAAGAGTTATCAAACTACATCTAGCACTTTGAAGGTGAATGAGAAACTTTTCTAACAGGAGGAAATAAAACATTTCAGGTGGTGATATGGAAATTAGGGGGCAGTGGGGACAAGATTGTTGAAAGTGCTAAGGAGAAATGGGAGTAGAGAATGAGAGGCAAGAGGCCATCTGACCTGAGCCAACTTACCTTTAAAAACAGCCAAGTAAGGACAATGCAGGAAACTGGATGGGCAAATCAACATCACTGTGGAGGTGAGGTACAGGGGTGCTCACACTTAAATGAGATGTTACTGCTGCTTTGGCTATTTGAGACAGGGTCTCAAGTTACCCAGGCTGGCCTTGAACTCACTATGTAGCTGAAGAAGTTTGCCTTAACCCCCTATCTGCGTGCCTCTTGCCTTCTCTGCTGGAATTAAAGGTGTGTGTGTGCCACCATGACCAGCTCCACCATTAGTAAATAGTTTTGTGAGTTAAAAAAAAAAAAAAAGGAGGGAAATGCATTTTTAATTATATGTATATATGTGTATCGGTATATGTATATAAGGACCTGGGCAGGCCAGAAGAGGCCACTAGATCCCCTGGAAACCACACTACAGTCCTCTCTGCACAAGCCATACAGGTTTTTAATCACTGAGCTTTTTTTCTCTCCAGCCCCGTTTTGCCTGTGTTTTGAGTTGGGCTGTAGGAACGAGGGTGAGTTACCCCAGAAGAGGGCGCCATCACCCAAGAACTGTGTGGAAACTGCTGAGAAGCCAGTAAGGCTTCAGGAAAAGAGGGGCTGTGTGAGAGGCTGAAGTCTGTCCAGGGCACCCCATTCTTGTTTTATTTATAGCGTTCTAACCCCTGGTAGGCCACAGCTTCTTTCCTGTTTTCTCAAGTAGCCGTAGCTGCAGAGAAGGTTCTCAAAATGCAGCCGCAGGCTCTTCCAATGCTTTCCATAACAGAGCTGACATTTTTCCAATATCATGTTTGCTAAATTAAATTCAACAGTAGGTCCATGATCGAAGAACACACACACACACGCATTTAGTTTTAACAGCACACCAACATGGGAATCTATTCCTGAGCTGGTGTGATTTCAACTACTATCAGTAAATTTGACAAAAAAAAAAAAAAAAAAAAAAAAAAAAAAAAAAAAAAAAAAAAAAAAAAAAAAAAAAAAAAAAAAGTGCGGGCGGGGGTGGGGGAGGACGGGGGACAGGATGGGACCGGGCAGCAGGGGGGCAGGTGTGTGTGTGTGGGGGCAATTGGAGAAATGGCTTAGCTGTTAAGAGTACTTGTTCTTGCCAAGTGGTGGTGGTGGTGGTGGTGCGCACGTCTTTAATCCCAGCACTCGGGAGGCAGAGGCAAGCAATCTCCGTTGAGTTCAAGGCCAGCCTGGTCTACAGAGTGAGCTTCAGGAGAGCCAAGGCTGTTACACAGCGAAATCCTGTCTCAACAAAACAAACAAACAAAAGAGTATGTCTTCTTGCAAAAATCCAGGGATCAGTTCCCAGCACTCACATGTGGACCCACAGCTTTCTGTGACTCCAGTCCCAACGGATGCCCCCGTCTCACCTCTAAGAATGCCAGACATGTATGTGGTAAGCACATAATTGTGTGCAAAAGGCTCATACACATAAATCTAAAAAGTTTTTGAATATGTGCGTGCGTGCGTGCGTGCGTGCGTGCGTGCGTGCGTGCATTCATGTGATGGAAGTCTGTGTGCACATGGAGACGACAACTCTGTGGAGTACCCAGTGGCCCATTCAGAGAGTCCTAAAAACAGGTCATAAGGTCTGCATAAGTGAGACAGTTGTGTAGCTTGATCTGCTTATGGGGCCCCCTGGCAGTAGGATCAGGATCCAACCCTGGTGCATGAACTGGCCTTTTGGAGCCCACTACCTATGGTGAGACACCTTGCACACACAGCTTTGAGGCAGGGGGAGGGGCTTGGACCTGCCTCATCTGAATGTACCAGGCTCTGCTGTCTCCCCATGGGAGGCTTTACCTTGTTGGAGGAGGGAATAGGGGGCGGGTTGGGGGGTAGGGGAGAAGGTTGAGGGGCGGGGAGGAGGGAAGAGAGGGGATCTATGGTTGGTATGTAAAATGAATAAAAAATTTCTTAATAAAATAACAGGTCATAAGTTTGCAATCATTAATAAAAACAATAGCATATATAAATAATAAAACTGATTGTGGTTAGCATTAAGCGTAGAGGGCAGAGGACAACTTTCAAGAGTTCGTTCTTTCCTCCTGCCTTGAGTCCTGGGGACTGAACTCAGGTTGTTGGACTTAGGAGCCTTAACCCACCGAGCTTTCGATGGACCTTTCTTGATTTTTAAAACTGTGTTTTACTATAAAAGTAATAAAAGAGAATAACACAAAACAAGCGAGACATTTGTCATTGTATTTACCAGTGTCTGTTGGTGTGGTCAGGGGACAATGGTTGGGAGTCGGTTCCCTCCTTCCACCATGTAGATCCCAGGAAGTGAACTCAGGCTTGGCAGCAAGCACCTTTACCCAATGAGCCAGTTCACCCGCCCATTGCTTGCGATACTATAAACCACTTAATGTCAAAAATCACAGCTTTTTCAACATCTGGCTTCAACTCCACCATCTTACCTCCCCAAAGCAAAGGATGTCAATGAAGTCAACGTCAACACTTAAAAGAAATTCTGGGAGTTGGGGGTGGTTTAATCCTTTGACCCTTGATGAAATTCAAACTTGGTGACAGACTTGATGCATTTAACAATTTTTCAACTGAATTTCCTTGATGTACTACACAATGATATCTCAATAAGGGTGAGTTTGGGATGGTAATTACATGAGAGTCTACTTTTCAAGTCCCTCTCATCTATCACAGGGTACCATCCAGATCCGTTGACAATAGAAAAAGAAAACTTCTAATATATTTATTATTTTGTATAAATCTACATAGTGTGTGTCAATGGCATTCAAGAAGACATTTCTTGCTGGGCGGTGGTGGCGCACTCCTTTAATCCCAGCACTCGGGAGGCAGAGCCAGGCGAATCTTTGTGAGTTCGAGTCCAGCCTGGTCTACAAAGTGAGATCCAGGACAGGCTCCAAAGTTACACAGAGAAACCCTGTCTCAAAAAATAAACAAACAAAACAAAAGACATTTCTTCCAACAGTGACATTTGTCATCAGTACCACTAAGAAAAATGGAGAGCTGAAGCTGGGCAGTGGTGGCGCACGCCTTTAATCCCAGCGCTCGGGAGGCAGAGGAAGGCAGATCTCTGTGAGTTTGAGGCCAGCCTGGGCTACAGAGTGAGTTCCAGGAAAGGTGCCAAAGGTACACAGAGAAACCCTGTCTCAAAAAAAGAAAAAAACAAAAAAGAGAGAGAGCTGAGGTGTAATTGCAGCACCAGTGTGAAGGTCCACAGCCAAAGCTTAGGAGAAACCTTGACACTTCTATAATTTTTCCCACCTTCCTTCCTTTTGAGGCAGAACCTTATGTAACCCAGGCTGGCCTCAAACTTGGCATGGCAAAGGATGACCTTGAACTTCTAGGCCTCCTGTTTCCACTTCTCAAGTGCTAAGACCGGCATGAGCTGCCACACCCACTTCACGCAATGCTGGGGCTTGAACCCAGGACCTCCTGCATGCTAGGCAAGCACTCTACCATTTGAAATATATCCGTACCTCCCTCAGAATTTCTTTCCGTTTTCCAATTCCTTAATTTACTTGGCTGTACAAGCTGATTTTAGAAATATCCCCCCCCCCAGGTATATTACATCTGATATACTCTCTATACATGGATTAACAAACTCACCATCAGTAAATTATTTTGTTGCTCTTCAATATGCTACTATATAACCAGCTCTTACCACAGAATCTGAGTTTCAGTTTTTCAAAAAATGTTTAAGGAAAAAAATCTCTCCATCCGTTTCCAACAGGCTCTTCAACACAGCCCTTGATACACATCCAATTCGGCAGCACATTTTATGTAGAATGCCTTTTAAATCTTTGAAAACCTGGCAAGTTCTCTGCAAATTAAACAGAATGCCTTACTACTATCGACAACAAAAATTAGACGTCTGCCCACTTTTCACTTGGAGGAATTTTTTTTTGGGGGGGGTCTTATTTTAGTTTGTTCTTTTTGGAATGGAGATGACATCATTAGTAAACATGGCTGAGAAAATTGACAGGGTAGGAGGGTGAGCACAGTGGAGGGAGGACCTCCAGAGCACAGGCCGTGACTGGGATGTATTTGACTCCACAGCCATCAGGGATGAGTGGCTTCTCAGCCACCCGTCTTCAGATTCATCTGAATTTAACTTGGTGAAGCCTTCTTTGAGATATGGTGGATGGGGGGGGGGGAAAGGGGGGGACCGAAGCTGCAGGACCTCAGTCACCTGTCCCTTATTCGGCAGCTTGATTGGAATGAACAGGATGACCTGGCCAACGTGAGCTCAGGCAGTTGCGCTCCGTGGCTTCCCGAAAGTACATGGCATACAGCGTAACCTGTCTGGACCCTGGTCTGGGGACAACGTGAGACCAGAAGCATGACTATTCGCCGGAAAACTGTCTCAAATGTCCCTTAAAGCAACACATCCAAGCAACGGGCTGCAGCATTTCCAGGATGGCTGCTGTTTGAAGTCACAACACCACACAGGTCTCCATGCTGCAGGGAGGAGCCTGGAGTGCAAGGAGGAAGCACAAGCCTAGGACACGGGAATCTTAGACATCCTTAGTCCCTTTGGAGTCATTTGATTACCTACTGGCAGATTGACAGGAAAATGACAAGAAAAATTCTTCTAGAAAATGGGCAACACATTGTATCGATTCTTTCTGATAATCCTTTCATTTCCAAGTATCTGTGCAGCCCTTAAAGGCCATGTTTGTTTTCTGGGTTTGGTGTGAAACCCCGCTTAACCTGAGAGTTCCATATTCCTCTGGCTGATGAGAAAGACTACTGGGTAATAAGTCAGCATTGTATGTATTATGGAGAAACTGATTGAGGAAAATTAATGACATTTAGTTAGAAAATGACCAACAATTTCATGTTTCCTTTATTGAAAACTGCAACAGATTTCTAGTAAAAGGCACTGAAAACTGCTTTAAAAATGGTAAAAAGGAAGAAAGTAATTAGAACACAGTATGGTGGGGTTAATAATAGCATGTATGCTCAGCTTCACAGGATCCTTGCAGATCCAATTTTTTAAAGAGTTCGCCAAAGTCAGTTAAAATTTTTATCCTGACATGGTAATTTATGCCTGTAATCCCAGCACTCCAGAGGCTAAGGCAGGGGGATTACCCGTTGAGATCCAGGCCAGTGTCAACTACATTGTAAAACCTCATCCCGAAGTTAGACGTTTATGACTGGGGTCAGTTGGAGCAAAGAGCTGGATGTTTGGTGGCCCTTCTTCATGTCCTCGCCGTTCCGCAGAAAAGCCTGTCTTCTTTTAACTCCATTCCAAACAGCTGAATTATTAGACGCCAGGCTCTGTGTCCTGAAGATATCAAAAGGGACAGGATTACAGTCTTCCCAAGAGAGCCGGAATGCCACTCAAGGCACTGGAATTTCATTTTGTTAGTTTGAAGCCACACTAGCACTTCATACTCATCTAAGGCAACCTTTCAAAAACCTAGCCCCTTTTCCACATGTGAAAAGCTCCACAATCGCACCCCGAATATTTGCCAGGTGCTTTCAAAGAAGTTTGTGTTTTCTGATCATCGGTTCCCAAACCTAGTCTCAAGTATCCAGCCTAGTACATGCCAGCCAGAATCGGTATCCATATCTTGTATAGTACCCTTTTTTTGGGAAGTCACAGAAAGGGAGAGTCAACTCTTCCTTTTCACAGTGATAATGTCCTCGTCCTGGGAACTAGGAGCCATGTTCTTACTGGCCACATTTGTCTTGCTCCGCCGGCACATTTGTGGTGTGTACCCTACTGCCAAGACGCACTGCAGCTGCACCAGTCATTTGCTGGTGGTTTTGTTTTGTGGTGCTAGGGTTGACCTCAGGGCCTCGCGCATGCTAGGCCAGCACTCTACTCTGGAGTATCTATCTCCCTAGCTCGCCCGTCACCCTGAATCCCACACGTGAAGAATCTGTGCGTGTTCTTCAGTTCAGCCTGTCTGTGTTAATTTTGTTTGTAGTTCTCTTCAAATAAGGTACCAACTATGTCTTGGCCATCTGGCCTTGATCCTAAGAACCACAGCATAGAGCCGATGTTCAAATGCTGTTTTCCTTTTCCTTCTTAATATCTGTAATTATAAGCCTCTCAAGAAAACCATAGTGTAATCAATTTTAAAAAATAAGCTTGAGAATGGAGAAATGGCTCTCTAGCAGAGGACCTGAAGTCAATTCCAAGCACCCATAACATGATGGCAGCTCACAAATACTATAACTTCAGCTCCAGGAGGCCTCTGGTCTCTGAGGGCACCCGTGCTCATGTGCCTATACCCACACAGACATACACCTAATACACATAATTAAAAATTACAAATATACCAAACAAGAAGTTGGGCCGGCAAGATGGCTAAGCAATTAAAACTGTATGCCACGCAGGCCTAATGATCTGAGTTTAATATCCGAAATCCACATAAAAAAGGCTCTCAGCCAGGCGGCGGTGGTGGTGCCCACCTTTAATCCCAGCACTCGGGAGGCAGAGGCGGGTGGAGGTCAGCCTGGTCTAAAAGTGACTTGCAGCACAGCCGGGCTACAGAGAAACCCTGTCTCGAATCCCACCCTCCCCATCCCCCGCTGCCATGGCTCTCGGCTGTAATGCCAACCGTCGTCCTAGGGTGCGAAGGGAAGTGGGGACAGAAGAATTGGTCAGGAGCTTGTGAAAACAGTGCGGGGACAGAAAAGAGAGACCCTGCCTCAAAGTGGAAGGAGAGAACTCGATCCCCAAGTCCTCTTATTTCCACATGAACACTGTCTATGTACACAGATGAACAGACACATACAAACATATCACGCAAAATAATTTAAAAATTAACTTCTTTATGGGATTGGCTAGATCAGTGGTTCTGAACCTTTCTAATGCTGCACCCTTTCAATACAGTTCCTCATGTTGTGGTGACCCCCAACCATAAAATGATTTTCATTGCTACTTCATAACTGTCATTTTGCTCCTGTTATGAATCCTAATGTAAATATCTGTGTTTTCCGATGGTCTTTTGCCCCTGTGAAAGGGTCATTTGCTCTCCAAAGTGGTCTCTGCCCACATGTTGGGAACTGATGAGACAGATGTTCCCTGTAAAAAGTACTGTCTCCAGCTGGGGGGTGGTGGGATGTACCTTTAATCCCAGCACTTGGGAGGTAGAAGCAGGCAGATTTCCCAAGTTTGAGGCCAGCCTGGTCTACAGAGTGAGTTCCAGGACAGTCATGGCTACACAGAGAAACCCTGTCTCAAAAACAGCAGCATAAAACAAAATACAAAAACAGACAAAAAACACTGGCTGCCCTTGCAGAGGACCTGAGTTTTGTTCCCAGCACCCACATGACAGCTCACAACCATCTGTAACTGAAGGGGATCTGATGTTCTCTTCTGGCCTTCGTGGGCACCAAGCACACATGTGGTGAACAGACATACATGCAGGCAAAGCACCCACACATATAACTTTTTCCTTAATTAAAGAAGAGGAAACTAAGCTGGGTGGTGGTAGCACACACCTTTGGTTCCAGCACTCGGGAGGCAGAGACAGGTGGATCTCTGTGAGTTTGAGGCCAGCCTGGTCTACAGAGTGAGTTCAAGGACAGCCAAAGCTGTTACACAGAGAAACCCTGTCTTGAAAAAAAATTCAAAAAGAAAAAAAGAAACTAGAAAAAAAATTTTTAAATAAAAATAGCCAGGTGTGGTGGCTCACACCTTTAATCCCAACATGAAGGGCAGAGGCAGGTGGACCTCTGAGATTAAGGCCAGCCTGGTCTACAGAGTGAGTTCCAGAACAGACTGAGTTACATAGTGAGACCCTGTCTCCAAAAAAAAAAAAAAGTAAAATAAATAAAAATAAAAAGCTGTGAGATAGCCAGGTGCCAGGTACTCATGCTTGGAAATCTGGGCCCTGAGGGAGCTGTGTGTGCTGTCTGTCATGTTGCTGTGAGAAAACAAACTTTCACAGAAAGCTTACTGGATCAGAGTTCAAGGGCACACACAGTCCATCAAGGGCACGAAGTCATCATGGCAGGAAGAAGGGCTCAAGGCAGCTGGAGAGGCTGCACCCACAGTCAGGAAGGAGTACACAACTCACTTCCTCCTTCTTATTCAGTCCAGGAGCCTGGCCCATGGGACGGTGCTGCCCACAGTTGAGAATTAACCTAATCTAGATAATCCCCCACAAGCTTGTCTCCTAGGTGATAATGCTACCATCATACTCTGAGCTACATTAAAGGATCTTGGGAAGACTTTCTCAAAAAGCTAAACAGCACCCCACCCAAAACCAAACCCAAACAGAACAACAAAGACTTGGGAGGGCAATGCAGGAAGGTCACAGGTTGGAAGCCACTCTGGTCAACATAATAAGACCTTGTCTCAAGAACAAAAAGCGGGGCTGGCGAACCGGCTCAAGGGTTAGGAGCTCCCGACAAAGTTCTGTTCCCAGAACCCTCGTTGGGTGGCTCTATTGCCTGTGACTCCAACTCCAGGGGATCCAAAGCCGCCTTACGGCATCCAAAAGGGACCTGCACACACATGTACATACATTACACATATGCACACATATATATGAATAAAAATTTAAAAAATATGACAAAACAAAACAAACCCCCAAGATAGCCGTGAATATATCAATTGCAAGCTATCCTTGATAAGCTGGGTGGGAAAGGACACATGGCTGTGAACGACTTCCTGTTAAAAGATTCACTTCCGTCTGTGGGTGAGTGTTTGTCTGCATGTGCGTTTGCACTCCAAAGGAAGGCATCAGATCCCATGGGGATATAATCATAGATGTGAGTCACCATGTGGGTGCTGGGAATTGAACCTGGGTCTTCTGGAAGAACAGCCAGTACTCTTAACCACTGTACCATTTCTCCAGCCCCCAGTATTTTTGCTAAAATGCTTGTATTTGTGCTGAGTGTGGTGGTGCACGCCTTTAATCCCAGTACTCAGGAGGCAGTACTTGTCTCTTGAGTCTGAGGCCAGCCTGGTCTACAGAGCAAGTTCCAGAACAGTCAGGGCTACACAGAGAAACTCTGTCTCAAAAATGCAAAGAAAAAAAAATAGTAGGATCATTACAAAATTTTACAAAGACTTTGGGGAGGATGGTCAGATGGCTCAGTGGGTAGACACCTGCTGCAGATACCGATAACCTGAGTTCTATCCCCAGGACCCATCTATTCCCAGTGGAAGAACAGCAACTCTTTCTGACCTCCATAACCTGTTGTAGCATGTGCACATGTGCACACAAGTGTATACACACACACACAATGTTATTTAAAACTGTTTGATACTTAGTTAATACTGAGTTTTAATACTTAGTGTGTATGTGTGTGTTGGGGTAGGGGGTTGAACCCAGACTGGCTTTGAACTTGCTCTGTAGCCCAGGATGACCTTGAACTCCTGCTTCACTCTCGCATGCTGGGATGAGAGCTATGCCCGCACAGCCCCTCTATGCAACGCTAGAATCAAACCCAGGGCTTCGTGCATGTCCTGCTGGCACTCCACCGGCTGGGCTACGACTCCAAACACTTCTTAAGTATCTTGTGAGTCCGCATTCCGTTTATCACACACAATTACTATTTAAACAAGTTGAGTGAGAAGTGGCTACATCCTTTACTTTTTTTTTAAACATCTCCTTTTTTTCAGATTTATGTTTGTTTGTTTGTTTATATATATTATATATCAATGCTCTATTTGCATGTACACCTTTATGCCAGAAGAGAGCATCAGATCCCACTATAGATGGTTGTGAACAACCATATGGTTGCTGGGAATTGAACTCAAGACCTCTGGAAGAGAAGCCAGTGTTCTTAACTGCTGAGCCATCTCTCCAGCCCCCCACAAACTTTACTTAACACAAATAGATCCAGGAATAGACGAGAAGATCTCCAACTCTAAGTTCTGAAAGTGCTTTGTTTTTAGCAGTTCCTTTCTACTTTTAGAAACAATTCCTAGTAAAATTTGGTTCCCACTAAAAAGTAACTCTATTGAGTCAGTTTCCTTTAATTTTGTGACCCCTGTAGGTCAACCACTCTCTAGGCCAGGCTCCACTGGCAAGAGTAGTTGGAATACTAACTTGATGGGGGGGGGGAAGGAAGAAAACTGAAGTTGGGTGGGTTGAGGGGAGAGGGTACATGTGGGAGGAACTGGAGGTGGGAGAATGAATATGACCAATGTATTGTATGAGGCTGGAGAGAAGGCTCAGCGGTTAAGAGCACTGGCTGCTCCTGCAGAGCACCTGAATTCCTTTCCCAGCACCCACATGGTGGCTCACAACCATCCATAACTCCAGTTCCAGAGGATCTGATGCCCTTTTCGGATCCCAGTGGGCACCAGGCTTGCACGAGATGCACACACAAATATACAAGCAGGCAAAACACTGACACACATAAAAATAAAATAAACCCTTAAAATATGTATTGTCTAAAATTCTAAAGATATTAGTTTTTAAAAGTGAACTCTGGCCAGATGATGGTGGCGTAAACCCTTAATCCCAGCACTAGGGAGGCAGAGGCAGATGGATTTCTAAGTTCGAGGCCAGCTTGGTCTACAGAGCTAGTTCCAGGACAGCCAGGGCTGTTACACAGAGAAACCTTGTCTCGAAAAACAAAAACAAAGACAAAAACAAAGCCGGGCTGTAGCGGCTCATGCCTTTAATCCCAGCACTCCGGGAGGCAGAGCGAGGTGGATCTCTGAGTTCGAGGCCAGTCTGGACTACAGAGTGAGTTCTAGGACAGGCTCTGAAGCTACCCTGTCTCAAAGAAAAAAAAAAAAAAAAAAAAAAAGTGGACTCTGTCCTACCATATGCAACCTCATCGTAACTTGATACAGTTTACTCCCTCAAGGGTGTTGACATTGTTCCATGGGTTTGTTCAGGAGTCTCTCACTAGGCAGCTCCACGTGCCCTGACTCTATGAACTCCAGCAGGAGGAGCTAACGTAGCACCCACATGCATCCTTACCTTGGGGAATCGATCCCGCTGTCTCCTGTCACGCTGTAGCTCTCTGTCCTTTCCAGGCGACTATGCTGTCGCTGGGACTCCTGAGCCAACGCCGGCACATGGGAGGGGTCGAAAAGTCGTGATTCGTCTGCGAAATGTTTTTCCATTTCCTGATTTGCCAGGCTCCGTCTCCAGCTAGTTGAATTCTTTCCTGCGTCACCAGGAGAATCTCGCAGGATCTCAGCCCCACAACTGGTTTTCCTCGCAGTAGAGAATTCAAGTGAACTTCCCCCAGCTGCTGCTGAGGCCTGGACGCAGGCAGCCGTGGGCTCTCCTTCGTAGTGGAAACCAAATATAGTCCCTGAATATAGGCCAGGGTTGTCTGTGAGATCAGGGTTTGGACCTTCCCCTGAATTTGCAGACGACCCAGTGGCCTTGTACCCGTGTTTCCTTTCAAGCGCCAGGGGCTCAAACCTATCAGTTTTGCTGTTACATCCTGTCAGAAGTCTCCCAGTCACCATTGGCCTTCCCTGCCATTGCTTCGGCCTGCCTCCCCCTGCAAAGGAATACTGAGTGTGTCCGGGCAGTGTGTGACAGGAGTCATGATCAGTCTCAGAGAAGTCGTCATCCTCTAGATACAGTGAACTGCAGGCCCCGTCATCCACCCCGGCCTCACTCTGGGTCACGGCTGCCTCGCCCTGCTCACTGTCGGAGGGCCCCTCATTTTCCACATTCTCAGTCTCTGCCTCTGGGACAAATGTCTTCCTAGAGAGATCTTGGGAATCACCTTGTCTTTCGTGTGTCCTCAAATGGTTTGCTCCAACTGGGCAATCTAAGAGGCCCAGGTTCTGGAACTGGTGTACCGTCTTATTCACTGATGTACACACACAGGGTACTGGGTCTAAAGAGGGGGGACTTTGTGAGGGCAAGACCTGATGCATTTCTTTGGTCCCCAAGAACATGTCACAGTCGGAATAACTTTTCCTCAAGATCTTGTTTTTTTCATTATGCACATCACCTCTCAACACACTTTCCCTGAAAGAACAGCCCCGAGGGTGGCTTGGCAAAACATTACCCGGAGGGTAATTTCCTGGGCCACCTCTGACGTCCCTGACAGGATGGCCTGGAGCCTTCATCGAAAGCACGGTTTCTGCTTCCAGTTTATCGTGGCATTGATCCAAATATGGCTTCTGGCCTCCACCATCAAAGACTCCCAAAGGACGTGAAGACCTTGCCCTCTGGAAAGGCTTTTCTTCTGGCCCGACGGGACCGGGTTTCAGATCATGGCTCTTCTGCACATTGTGCCCTTTGGATACTGGGGGCCCTCTGAGATACATGCCCTGGAAAGGATTGCTGATCTGCTTCTTGTAAATCAAGTGGGGACCTTGCACAGCTGGCACCCCACCACGTAACTGCTGCATTTCTTCACTGCGGCTTTTCATTCTGGGAGCAGGCTGGGCTGCGGGGACCTTGGGGTGCTTTTCAGACAGTCCAATGCTTCCTGGCTCCAGCTCACTCCCCTGGCTCCACGCTTGGTGTCTACCCCTGTGAGAACAGCCCCGCCGCCGGTGAGGCTTGGCAAAGCGGCCCTGCCTTTTCCGAATTCCTTCTTTAGAAGAATACTGACGCCTGGTGGTCAGCGCATCCGTGGAAGTGCCCTGACTATTGTATTTCTTCTGTTCTTCATATTTTTGCATTAGGACCGTGTGTTTGATTAAGTTGTCAACGGTCAGCACAGGGTTAATGCTCCTGATTATCGCATGTTCCACATCTCGCGGGATGTTGTTGGAGCTTTCTTCATCCCGGACAGGCCACTCTTCGGGTGGGAACTGTGCAGAGAAACTGCAGTACTCTGTTCTGGGCTTCTCTCGTCTAGATAAGCTTCGCCACAAGAAACCAAAACCAAATTTTTTGCCTTTGTCTTTGGTGTCTGGTAACGGTTTGGGGCTCACGCAGACGTGGGCGTCTTCAGATGCTGCAGCTACCTGGTTCTTAGACAAAGGTGTGGGTTCCTCAAGACCGTCCTGGTTTTTCCTAGACACTTCTGCCCCAGTCAGTGGGTCCTTAGAGTCCTGCACGCTTGTATCAAGGAAACACTGACATGATGGACAGTGGGAAACAGGAGCCTCGTTTTCCTGGGCCAGCTCCGCACAGCAATCCACACTCACCAGATAGGTCACAGAAGTGGGCATTGGGCACCCTTCTTCTGGCAGGAGGGCTCTCTGATTTTCCTGCATGGGTGTATTTGTGATGAAGTAAGTGTTTGGTGTAACTATGAAGTAGCCCTCTCCCGTGTGGTAAATCTTCCTCCCTTGAATTAGAGTCCCTAGTGTGCTGTAGAGAATGTCTGGGGAAGGAACCGCAATACCTAAAAAACAAAAAAGAGTTCTGAAATTAGAAATTCAGAATGGACACAAACCTGGAGCTGATTGTATATATTACATGCAATTAAAATGCTAGCTGGCCAGACGGCTCAGTGGATAATGGTGCTTGTATTCAGACCTGACACCCTGAGTTTGGCCCTCGGTCCCACAGAGAGGCAGGACAGAGGACAACTCCCACACGTGGACTGTGACCCATCCATGCCGGCGCTCACATACACACACTCATTTAAAATTAGAACTGAGCCTAGTGACTCGGATCTGTAATCCCCGCGCTCAGGAGGCTGACATAGGAGAATGACTGCAATTTCAAGGCCACCCTGAGCTAGATATCGAGAACTAGGCCAGTCTGAGTTACAGTGAGACCCTATCTCAAACAAAACAAAACGACCCAAAGAATAATATGTGGAGCTAAACTACAAAACATTATACAAGTTGGTCCCCATACAGACATATGGCAAGGTTAATGGTTAAGTACAAAAACCAAAAATCTGAATATCACTGGATATAAATCAACTTAAAATTTGAAAACTCAGTAGGAAAGCAACTGCCTAGCAGGTATGAAGCCCTGGGTTCGAACCCAGCACTGAAAAAAACAAAACAAAACAAAACAAAAAAAAAAAAAAAAAAAACCAAAAACTACATACACCTTGAGAAAGCCTCGTGATGAACAAACATGGAAATTAAAAAGTCTCATAAGCACTATATGAAGAATGTACAGAATGATTCCACTTATGTCATAAAGAATAAAATGTACATTAAAATGCAGTCTGTGGAGGCATAACTAAGAACTACAATTCTATCAGTTCCATTTCTGGAAAATAGACATGGGAAAAATTGAGGGAAAAGTTCCTCGCTACAGAAGCTGATTAACACTAATTTACGTATGAAAAAAAATCCAGAAAGTAAAAGAAATATCTTGATGAAATGTTGAAGTTGGGCTGGTTGAGACCGCTCAGCAGACACCTGCTGTGAGCCCAAGGACCTGGGTTCAATCCCTGGGACCCACAGGGTGAAAAGCGAGTCTGACTCTTCCTGCAAGTCGTCCTCTGACATGTACCGTGGCATGCATGTGACACGCACACACAAATGTTAATGTAGGGCTATTCTTGACAGTTTTTCGGGTTTTTTTTCTATACTAGTGATGGAGATCAGGGCTTTGCGCAGGCTAGGCAAACATTCCATCAGTGAACTATATCCCTATCCCTCTTTTTACTTTTATTTTGAGACAGGGCCTTACTAAGCTGCCTAGGCTGGCCTTGAACTTTCAATCCTGCTTCAGTCTAGCAAATAGCTGAGACTGCATGCCTTTGCCACTGAGCTGGGTAACTCAGTGTTGTGACAAAAGATTCTAAAAAGGGGGGAAAAGGACACCATGATCGTTACTTACATGTTAGGATTGTTCATAAATAGAAACCAAACACATTTGAATGAATTCAAGTGGTAAACACTGGTTACCTGGGTAATGTTTCTTCAAGTGCTCCAAGAGTGATTCCTGTGTTACAGCCACCTGAGCGGCGTTCATATCGGCTATAACGCAGCAAAGGACTTCAGCCAAGGGTACGAACCGACACTGGGCTATGGGACTCATTTGCACTGGGAAGACATCACCTGAATTGAAGGTCAAAAACAGTGTAGGTGGTAAATCTGCTATGAATCATTTGGAACTAGTGAACAGAGAACAGTCTAAGTCTGACTGGATGATGGGCCCAGACTCTGCTAACATGGCATGTGCGATGGTAGAAACCACAGAAGACAAAGGTTTGCATCACGGTCCCTCAGTGACGAGCTGTCGCAGAGGTCAGACATGCTATCCAGCAGTTCACATTTTTAAAAGCATACTTCCATATCGGTTGGGCAGCCGTGGTAGGAAGTACAGCATCATTTGCAGCACATGGGTAGATAAACCATGTCTGTTGCTATAGTTACAGACTGGGTATCAGCCAGCCAATGACCGATTTGTTGTATGGAGTTTGGTGCACCAAAGATAACCATTGATGGTAAATAGATTGGGGATGGAACTCAATCTGTAAAGGGCTTGCCTAGCATGCAAAAGACCCTGGGTTCACCCTTAATATGGCATACAGAGCCTGGTGGCACAGGCCTATAATCCTAGCACTTGAGACATGGAGGGTGGAGAATCAGAAGTTCAAGGTCACCCTTGGATACATAGTCAATCTGAGGCCAGCTTGGGCTACTTGAGACTCAGTTTCAAAAGCGCAAGTGGACATAGCTCAGCGGTAGGGCACTTGCCTAGCATGTTCATCTCCTTAGGGTAGGCCTTAGGTTCATCTTGAGGCACCTCACACATACTAAAATAAATTAATCTTCTACTGCCTACAATCCCCACAAGTCGGGAACAGAGGCAGAAGGATCAAGGTCATCTCTGGCTACATAGTGAGTTTAAGATTAGGGTTGGCTACATGAGGCCTTTTCTAAGGAAAAATAATGAAGACAACAGAAACAAAACTACTACTAGCTAGAAGTGACTTCCTCTTTAAAATCCACGTGCCTTTGTACGAAACATGCTAGAGAGAACATTCTGTTTTACTCTCCTCTAAGTATCGTGTGTGTCCACTCTTTTGACACTACGACACCAAGTTCTCATCTGCAAGTTTCTCATGCTCAGGACCCCCACAGTGAGTTACAACAACAACAAAAACTCATGATATTTTCAGTGAGTTTCCGACTTTGTGCTGGGGCCACATTCACAGCCTCTCCACCCCCCACCCCCGCCCTCAGCCCACTAGACAAAGCCAGGAGAGTTTCCAGGGGCGCATTCCCTTCACAGCTGTTGCTAAGATACCTGCTGCAGGTGCATAAACCAAGCTTTCTGTGCGCAGGAAAGTGAAGTGAACCCGAACCTGGGAACTTTGGTGACAGATGCTGGGATTGCTTCCAAGCTCCAGCAACGGTCTGCTTCTCTTACTATTGCATCCTTTGGGTTTCTGCGATGCAAAGTGCAGATGATCCCCCTCGCAGATGCAATCAGATCTCACAGGTCCAGAAATGCTCCCACTGAAGAGGAACTAAGCAGCACCTTTAAGAACAGGCCTGCTTGGGACCTTTCACCCCAGAGCTTGTCCAAGCATTGGGTTAAAGAGAGAGTGTAGGCAAGAGAGGGCTCACCACCAGGTTCTTTCTGTTTACACAGTCTGGTATTCCTGGGTGCTTCAGAAATGGAAAAAGGGGTTAGGCTGAAAGACAAATATCATCAAAGTAGAAAATGGGCATTTGTGTCTGATACATTTTCTACAATCCATAGGTAGAGAGATAGATGCTAGGTAGGTAGACAGACAGACAGACAGACAGATGACAGACTGGAAAGTTTTTTTTTTTAATTTTAAGATTTATTATGCAGTGTTCTGCCTGCATGCCAGAAGGGGGCACCAGACTTCAACTACAGAAGGTTATAAGCCACCATGTGGTTGCTGGGAATGGAACTCAGGACCTCTGGAAGAAGCAGTCAGTGCTCTTAACCTCTGAGCCGTCTCTCCAGCTCTCTTAAAAATGCTTTTAAAGACAGGGTCTCAACTATGTAACACTGGCTGGCCTGGAACTCACTATGTAAACCAGGCTTTCCTAGAATTCATTCAAGGTGTACATGCCACTGTGATCACTTTTTTTTTTTTTTTAATCCATTGTGTTGCAAAGGAATTTGGTTGGGTTATTTATTTGCTTTTACTTTTCATGTTATAATGAAAGCAAAGAACAAGTTTTAAAATAATCACACCTCGCAGCTCACACTGAGGGGAAATGAAGAGCGTGCACTCCACATGCGCCCCGATGGGTGCCAGCCAGTGACAGAGTCAGCTCCTCACTTGAGGAAGGCAGATCCTTTGAGCTGGCAACCTTCAGATGGTGACTAGACGCCAGGTGGTGGTGGCAGCGGCGGCGGCGCACGCCTTTAATCCCAGCACTCGGGAGGCAGAGGCAGGAGGATCTCTGTGAGTTTGAGGCCAGCCTGGTCTACAGAGTGAGTTCCAGGACAGCCAGGGCTACACAGAGAAACCCTGTCTCAAAACAAAACCAACCAGCAAAAATGGTGACTAGAATCAGCTGCTGGCGGATGGCTTCAGACGAGTGGTTTTCACCTGTGGGTTGAGACCCCTTGGGGGAGTCAAACGACCTTTCATAGGGGTCGCATATCAGATATCCTGCGTATCAGATATTTACATTATGATTCTTAACAGGAGCAAAATTACAGTTATGAAGTAGCAACAAAATAATTTTATGGTTGGGAGTCACCACAACATGAGGAACTGTATGAAAGGGTCAAAGCACTAGGAAAGTTGAGAACCACTGCTTTAGACTAAGGCAGTCAGTCTTTGCCTCCGGGTGCCTAACGCCTTAGAAAGCCCAGGCCTGTTGTGTGGGGGGCCGGTTGTGTGGGGGTACGACTTGTTCTTGTGGGTGACAGCAGCTTAACAACCCAGCACAAAGAGCTGGCGTGGTGGCACTTGTTACTCTCGCAAAAGACCAGGGCTCAGTTCCCAGCACTCACATGGTGGCTCACAAACCACCTGTAACTCCAGTTCCAGGGGGTCCAACGCCTTTTGACTTCTGTGGGCTCCAGGCACTCACAGGTTGCACATGCATATACATGCAGGGAAAACATTTATATATATAAAATAATCTCAAAAAAATCTAAACAAAAAACAATCCAGTGCAAGATCTCACCGAAGAGGAAAAGCAGAGGTTCTTCTTGGGAGGACATAAAGCCCCGACCCCATAAACCTCAGCTGGAAGCAAGCCATCAGGAAAATTCGGGAACTAATGCAGTCCTCATCAACATTCCCATGAGCTCATCACAAAAGTAATATTTAAAGAGCCTGGAATGTGGGGGCTGGAGAGATGGCTCAGTGGTCAACAACACTGGCTGCTCTTCTGAGGTTCAACTCCCAATACCCACAAGGAGGCTCACAACCATGTGTAGCTCCAGCTCCAGGGGATCAGACTTCTTCTTGTGGCCTCTGTAGGCAGACGTCACATACGAGGTGAGGCAAAGTACTCATACACATAACATTAAAATGTAAGAATTCTTAATTCATATGAAAGCACAAAAGGAGAATTCAGGTAACCAAGGCAATCCTAGGCACAAAAGCAATGTTGAGCCACGTGTGGTCATGCATGGTTGGTTGCTTGTAATCTACTTGGGAGGCTGAGGCAGGGGGATATGAAGTTTGAATCCAGGCTGGGCTCTAAAGCAAATTCCAGCCCAGGTCAGTGTTGGTGCTGTATCTTAAAAACAAAACAAAAACTAATCTCCAGTGAAAGGAGACAAAGTGAAAGTGTATGGGGGCGGGGGTGAGCAGGGATGAGGGCAGAGAGATGGGGAGAGAAGGGATATGGGGAGGGTCAGCCATAAGGAAACTGAATACTTAGTAAGCAAATTAGAAAACAAGGCTAGGAGCTGAGCGTGGCGGCACACGCCTTTAATCTCAGCACTGGGGAGGCTGGGGCAGGCAGATCTCCGAGTTCAAGGCCAGCATGGGCTACAGAGTGAGTTCCAGGCCAGCCAGGGCTGTTACACAGAGGAACCCTGTCTCGGAAAAAAAAAAAAAATCAAAACCAAACAAACAAAACCAAATGAAACAAAACTAAGGGCTGGAGAGCTGGCTCTGCAGTGAAGAGTGTTTGCTGCTCTTCAGGAGGACACAGCTGGGTTCAGTTCCCAGCACCCACATCGTGGTTCACAATTTTCTATAACTCCAGCTCCAAGGGATCCAACACACTTTTTTAGCCTCCCAGAGCATAATTAAATGCACATAATCCACATACAACACACACACAGATATGCATGATTAAAATAATTTTTAAAAATTAACTCAAGGGGCTGGAGAAATGGCTTAGCAATTTAGAAGAGTACTTGCTGCTGTTCCAGAGGACCCAGGTTCGATTCCCAGTACCCACATGGAGGCTCACAACCATCTGTTATTCCAGTCCCAGGGGTTCTGGCATATACGTGGTATACATATATACATGCAAGCAAAACCCTCATACATATGAAATAAGTACATCTTTTTTTTTTTTTTTTTTTTTGGTTTTTCGAGACAGGGTTTCTCTGTGTAGCTTTGCGCCTTTCCTGGGACTCACTTGGTAGTCCAGGCTGGCCTCGAACTCACAGAGATCCGCCTGCCTCTGCCTCCCGAGTGCTGGGATTAAAGGCGTGCGCCACCACCGCCCGGCTGAAATAAGTACATCTTAAAAAGGTTTTTCATTAACTCAAAATGAGTCAAAGACCTGAAGAGAAAACCCACACTTGCGCTGTTGTGCCTGCCTCCCTCCGGAGTGCTGGGACTTCACAAGTGAGCCACCAGTGCCCAACTTGTTATGTTTTCATCTGGAGTATTCAACTTGGCTTTTGAGGCTCACGAGACTGTGCTAGCAAATAGAAGAGGGAGTTCCTGAGAACCACTCACATCCCACCATTTTTGTTTCATGGCATTAAACTCTGTATCACACTAATGCTAATATTTCGTGTTTGAAAACACAAACCTCCCTCGAGAACATTTAGACCCTCCACAGGTGTGCTCATGGACGACAGACACGGTGCTGGGCGATCCGCCAGGAGCCCATGCATAATTGACCTTCAGATGGTTTAACTGAGCCACTGGACCTCAGCTAATTACCCGGATTCGGGAAATCGGAGCCCATCTCTTTGGGGCCTGGTATTGAATCCCACGGTGGGAAAGGCTTCTTCCGAGTGCATTAGAGATGACAGCCAAGAGCAGACAAAGCAGCCTGCAGACACACTGGGCTTTAATAAAAGAGGATGTTTGGCTCAGAGTAACCCAAGAAGAGCCCCGGACTTCAAGCTGCCCTTTTATCTGCCACATCTTTTCTTTTTTTTTTTTTTAACCTTAAAATTAATCCTGACCTGGTTTTAAAAAGAAAGCAAGCAAGCCAAACCAGCCTTTTGTAACAACATGCTCCTCCTCGGAGATAACGGCGGGTGCACAGAGCTCGGTGGCTTTAAATGATTTGGTCTGCTGTGTTATAACTTCAAATAGGTTCAGGGGGAAAAAAATCAATCAGAATGGAAATAAGATGAAGAAAGGTTACAGTTCCACAGAGCCAAGCCCTCTCTCCGTCTCCCTTTCAGCTGAATGAAAGAAAAAAAAAAATACCACACCTTCCTCTACATCTACAACCAAATAGTGCCAGGATTTGGGAGCTGCCTATCATCTAAGGCAGCTGGGTGTCTGTCGTGAAGGGGAAATTCTTTCTCCAGACATTAGATACGGATATGGGGGCACTTTGCCTTTGTGGGTGCACCTTGCCTGGTATGCCCAACAGCACAGAAAACAGGCCATGATGGTGCAAACCCATGATCCCAGCATCAGGGGTTCAAGGTCATCCTTTGCTACATAGCAAGTTCCAGGAAAGCCTGGGATACATGAGACTAAGTCTCAAAACAAAACAAAAAAACAAAACAAAAGCAAAAACAGCTGAGACTAGAGTGTGAACTATCAGGCAAGTGTTTTAATAGGAAAGAAAAGGGAATTAGAGAAAACAGGACAGCACTGACCGGTGTGTGTGTGGGGGTGGGGTGGGGGTGGGGGTGTCAAGTTCGCCATGACAGACAACAGGATTTCTCACACCTTCGGACCAGGACAGTCAGCTCTTGATTGCCCGAGGCTTCAAAGTTGGCGTCCCTCACCCATGCTCTTCTCTTGCTATAAATCCCCATGCCCCAGGGGCAGCTGAAGACATTTTAAGTTGGGACAGAGTTGTTTGGGTGTGGTGTATGGGGTGAACAGTCTACAGCGGCACACAGAGAGAATGCTGATATCTGTAAGCGCCTGTCTGTGAAGACTGAATAGAGAATCCACCTACGTTCTGTATTAAACTAGGGGTTTTTTCAGAGTCTGACCAGTTCAGTTCACTTGGCCTTCACCAGTACCCCTTTCTGGGTGCATGCTGCAAGAGGGCTGGGTCTAGCACAGTGAAGTCCCACTCCAAGGACTTCAGAGTCAATCATGCACTGGGACCAAGGAGAGCTAAGCTCAGTGGATCTGCTCCATGATGGATCTGCAGTGGACACCTCCTTGATTATTTTTTTAGTCCACACATAGTCCATCTCATAAAGTGCCGCACTGGTCCTGCATGGATTGGTTCAACATCAAACTCAAAGAAGTGTCAAATCTGCCGCTGCAGGGATTGATTTCCCTCATAGCCACTGTGATGCCAACTCTGACATGGGGCCTTGGAATTGGAGCAAAACTAGTAATGTAGTGTAGCCAAGAAAGAAAGGATTGGTGGGCAGTGGTGGCGCACACCTTGGATCCCAGCCCCTGGGAGGCAGAGGCAGGTGAGTCTCTGAATTTGAGGCCAGCCCTGTCGGGGGAGGGGCAGGGTCTCACATA